GATTGCTTTTCATTTAACAAAGCTGAATGTTGCTTTCTAGGTGAAAAATAATTAAATGCTTTTAAAGATGTATTTAATTAACAGGAAGCTGATCTGTGTAAATTAATTATAACTGTAATGATGTCATAGCCTTGTCTTTTGTTATTAACTAGGTAATTGACCAGAAGTTTAGAAGCTTATTGTAACTGACAGTTAGCAGTTTGACCTTGTATGCTGTCTAGAAGTGAAACATGCGCAGTGAATGTAAATGCAGTTTGTTCATCGAGCTGCATTTGATGTCAGAACATCTGATCTTGGGTTCTTATTTTTATTCTTCCATTACTTCTTTGTTGAAATTGGTGGTCAGGATTATACACTCAAAGTGAATATTATACTTATTTCTCTTACTAAAAGCATCTGGCCAAACACAAATGTTGTCTGTGTCCTTGAATAGCTATAATCAGACATGAAACCCTGATGCGTTTAGGACATACACAGTCAAGTAAACAAACGAATCTTGTTTTTAAATTCTATTTGAAAGAAGGTAAAACAACTTTTCATAGAGAAGTCGTAAAGAGGGAAATAATGGTATATTTGATATAATTTATTCCCTTTTATTCTAATTTGTCCAAGAAAATTAAGAATGTGGTATTTTGAAAATGTGAGTGATGGCAGCACCACTTTGGTGGGTTTTGTTAAAGCGTGGAAATGTAAGAGTAAGATGTGGAGTAGAGGTAAGATAATGATGTCTAACAACCAGCATTCCAAGGTGTCAGGCTGTGCTCCCTTCCACACACTTTATTCTAGCGGTATGATTCAGCTCTGTTAGAATGTGGCATTGGCATTCCTAAAAACCACCATACTATGTGAAATCATTCAGTAAAAACCAGAGAGCTTGGGGAAAATGGTGTTAGGCACCTAAAACTCAAAAACTTTGTCAGTGTCATGTAAAAACAAAAGATAGGAACTTAATAAAATGGTAGCACAGTTTTACACAAGTTAAATGATTAAGAAATACATAAGTAGTGCAGTAAGTATGGCACTTTACATTAAAAAAGTCCTGATCTTTGCTTGTAGAAATAGTTGTCAGGAGGATTGCAGCTTGTGAATTACTATCAAGTGGTGGAAGGAGGGTTATCTGAAATTGGACTGAAAGTTGAAACTTCAGGTGTGGATGGGTATAACTCATACTCTGTGAACTGAGGTACCTGATAGATGTTTGAGGTGTGTAAAGCGTACATTTTGTGAATTTTTATGCAGTTTGCTTCAGTGGATGCAGTTTTCTGCATGCATCAAATGTGAAATTTACATTGTACTCAGATTGTTCCCTAATATATCATTTGCATTTGAGAAAATGTTGTCATTTCTAAACAAGCATTATAGCAGAACTGACAAGACTAATTATTTCTACTTCTGTAAACATCACCCATATTTCATGTCTCTATACTAAGAGTACATACAAGCCATTTCCTCTCTTTAAAATACCTTTCCATTCTTTTATCCACTTTTTATCTTTCAGAGCGTGGCTCTGGTTAGGAAACTTCCCTAAGGTCTTCTCTGAATTGGATTGACTTAACATTTTCTGTATTGACACATATTGTACATTATTTGCCTGTTTCCAAAAAGTGTGTGTTTTAGATGACATAAGACATAAGCTTGTAGTAAAAGAAAGAAAACAGCAAATAACCCAATGATTGAGTAGCACTCAGCAGAAGAAAGCATCTCCATTTATTAGGCAAACTTAAACTTTTTCTAGCTCTCACGAGATTTTGCACATGAAACATTTAAGTGTGAATGGTGCTTTTGAACAATGCGAACGTGATTTCTTAGGTGAGATCTATGTCAAGCCCTCTAAAAATATTAAGTTACATTTCTGCAAAAGTCGTTCTTCAAAGGCAAAATGATGTGATCTGACCATGCAGCTTTTGGTGATTTGGCAAAACTCAAGGATAAAATTTGTGATAGTGATCCTTTATACCAGTAATTCTTAGAAGGTGGAAAAGCAGTTTTTACCTCTCTGTGGCTTCCCTCTTAGATGAGGGAAACAGGGTTGGGCTTTGCAGGGTCCTGGGACTAAGGAAATGCCAATCAGGGAACACTTCACAACCCACCCCTCCAGTTCTCCATACCAGAATCCTGGCTGGCCAGATGCCTGGCCCTGGTGGGAGAAAGTTGGAGAAGGTACAGGGGTCTTTGTTCCTCAGCTTTTCTATTTATATAAAATATATTCTAAAGATGAGACAGATGACATTTGGATTATTGTTACTTTTTTGTTTTTAACTTGATTTTAAAAACTGATTTTTTCTTAGCTATGACTGTGTTAATAGTTACCAAAAGAAGTTGAATATTTGAATATTACTTGGTACTGTTCTTTAAAATACAGTTCCACAAATTGACTTAGCCTCTAGAAAACAATTACTGTTTATGTCGAAGAAAAGGCTTAGTTGGTGGGATTTTCTATATTTGAAATATTTTCAAAATGCATAAACATTTTGATATGTTTAATGAAAGTCACCAACTGCCCTTATTGGAAAGGATTATTCTTTATGCTGAGATATGTCCTTCCTAATGTTTTGATGGTTAAAGTGTCACCTGTCTCATTTGAGACTGGGGTGACTTCAGTCTCAGCTCTGACATGTAAAGATCTTAGAAGTCATCTCTCTTCACAAGAAAAAAACTGAAGAAACTGAAAAATACTTGGGTCACCTCCCAAATAAATAACTTCCACTGGGAACCTTGTCTCAGAGTCTGCTTCTGGGGGAAGCCCAGACTGAAACAGTAACATACAACGGTATTACCAACAACGAAGAGTTGCATTCATTAAGACTGTGCTAACTAAATTCTCCTACCAACCCCTTTTACAGATGGGGAAACAGATGTGGGTTGATGAGGTACTTTGCTCAAAGTAACTAACACAACTAATAGACCAGCCAAGTGGTCTTGAGTCAAGAATGGCTTGATTCAAGTTAGTCATCTTAACCACCACTCGGCACTGAGCACACACCTAAAGGCCAACACGATCTGACTGAGAAACTAGTAGTGAGAGTGCAACTAAAAAGTAAGGTTAAGTATTCAGTGTTTCAAGTTTAGTTTCTGGGGCTTCAAAGAAGCCTTTTAGCAAGGGTCCTTGATTCTGCCATTTTAAAGTTGCACAACGGGTTTCTTTAAACAATTGCTTGGGTTGGATTTATAGAATCAGAATGTCCCCGCCTAATCTGGGTTTTTGAACTTTGTTGTCTTTCCTGGCATTAGGAAAGTACAGAGAGGAGCAAAACCTGGCTGCCCTTCCAAGGTGGCCCATCCTGGTCTCTCATGGACATGCATGATTCCAGGTGGGGTCTTTAGGGAAGAGGACCTGCCCCCTTTCCTAATGTTCTAATCCTGGGGGAATCCAGGACAAGGTGACTTAAGAAGCCCTGTGCCCATTTATGTTTTCTAAGGGCCCTTGCTGATTCCAGTGAGATTGTGTGAAATCCATCCAGCAAATGGGCAGAAGTGAATGAATAAAAGTATTTGTGTGCATAAAAGAACTCCTGTTTGCTACAAAATCTTCTGTCAGACTTCTTTGGTAGCCACGATAAAAGGAAAGCTAGGCTAGTTCTGTACTACTACTTTACTTGTATTTTTCTAAGTTGAAATCTTAAATTACTCTTTTGGGGTGAAGCATTCTTGCCTTTCTGATTATGTGTAGGGCATAATCAAAGCAACTTCTTAACCTCTTTAGAACAAGGAACAGTGGGTGCTCTTTTTTTTTTTTTTTTCTGCTTCTGAACCTAATACCTGTGGAAGATGGTTACTATGTTATTTGCTGATTGGTCTTATTGATGATCTTATTTAAATTTAGCCTCTTCCAAGCAGGAACAAATTTAACTTTCTTACACCAGGAAAAATTGATAGATTCCTCTCTGTTTCTCTCTGTGGGTCCCTCTGTCTTTCTCCACCTGTGTCTCTCTGAGACTGGGAGCGTGCATGTTTGGGGTGGGAGAACATTTCAGTCTTAAGACTAAACTTAGACTTTCTGAGGTCTGTGTGCTGCAGAGCAACTTAAAGATCCAACTCAACCTAAAGAAATGGATCATTCAGGAGGTTGATGATCTTGGATATCCAGGACCACAAAGCTAGGAGCCAAATCAGTAGGAGCAGAACCAAGACAGCTGGCAAAAATAGAGGAGGAAGGCACCTCCTTCCATGGGGAATAGCCTCTACAGTTCTGTTTTTATTATCTTTGCTTTCTTTAAACTAAAGTTTCCAAATTGCCTGGTGCTCACCTTGCACATTGCTCACCACTACCAAGATCTCATCTTTTTTCCACTTTGACAAAAGTACCTAGTCCCTTCGAATGAATGAATTGTAAAATGTTTATAGCTACCATCTTAGTTTAGCCTCAGTAATTTTTGTGTTTACAAAAATAAATTTTATAAAAATGTCTGCATGCAATGGCTCCAGATATTCTGGGAATTCCAGAATACCTAGTGTGATGGTATTAGGAGGCGAAGACTTTGGAGGTTATTAGGTCATGGGTGTGGAGCCCTCATGAATGGGATAAGTGCCCTTATGAAAGGGGCCTCACAGAGCTCTCTTGCCTTCTTTCTACCTCATGAGGACACAACAAAAAAGATAGCAGTTGGCAACCTGTTAAGATGGCTGTCACCAGAGCCCAGCCAACCTGATCTCACACTTCCAGCCTCCACAACTGTGAGAAATGAACTTCTATTGTTTATAAGTCATACAGTCTGTGGTACTTTGTTGTAGCAGCCTGAATGAAGACAATTGCCAAAAGCAATATCTAACTTAAAATGTATTGCTCTACTTTAACTCTTTTGGTAAGATCTTATTTTTTTATAAAAGGAAGCCTTTTGCTAAATGGTAAGCATTGAAATCATAGTACTTTAAAAAAATTCTCTCAAACTTCAGTTTATCTTCCAGGAAGCATTTATGTCAAAGAAAAGTAGTTGACATCTCTTCTAAGTGTTCCTAGTCTAGTGACTTAAGTTATAAAATATTGGCCATGAAGCAGAACATTGAGCTATTTCCTGGCCTGCCTCTAGATCACAGCCTAGAATTTCAAAAGATTTTTATTTAACTTCTTACAGGCATTCTAGCTATTTGTTACATGCTGTGGAAGTGCAGAATGTGGCATTTGGCTTTCTTGAGTGATGGGCAGGCTGGGCTGCTGGGGCCATTCACAGGCATGGGCAGAAGCAGTAAGGGTTGCAGCTGGGAGAGACAGAGTTGAAGGGCAAGACAGAGGAGCAGCACTTTGTGGTGGGATGAGTGAGTTGGAATCCTCATAGTCCAGTAAGGGCATTGTCTCCATCTTGGCGTCTTTATCTGTATATGAAAAGCGGAATTTCTGTCATTCTCTCAGGGTTTCATGCCAAAACTACTGGAAGGTTTTTCACTAAACTGGGCACAAAATATAAGCTATGGGATGTGTGTATGAAATTCACTTTGGTGACCTCTGGTGGTGGGAGAGTTCATGGGACGGCCCATCTATGGAGATGGTCTCACTTATTAAGCACCTTGGACAGAGGAAGCTGAGGCCTGAAATTCCAACCTCCTCAGAAAGTCTCAAGGGCAGAAGCTTCATCTAGCCACTTCTCATATGGGCAACTTGATAGGCATGCCTAAGAGTGGGTAGGACACTTAAGTGATTTTCTGGTCAAGTACTGGGTAGACCAGCTAGTAGATAAAATAGAACTAATTTTGACTTCACAGGATTGTAAGAATTAAGTGAAATGAAACAAATTATATATAACTACTTTTAAACTATAATTACATAAATTTAGTTATTATCGGAAGGCATGTAAATATTATAAGACCTTGATTCATGAGCTGAATAGCTTAAAGTTGATCACATGATGATGATGATAATAAAGATTTAAAATCAGCTGGTACTTATTTAAAACTTACTATGTTTCAGGCATTATGCTAAATGTTTTGCATATATTACCCATCAATGCTATGAAGTTACGGTTGTTATTTAGTGTCCATTTTATAAGTGAGGAAACAGGCATAGGTTGAATAAGAACTTACCTAAGGTCATACAGCTCCTAAGCAGGTAAGCCAGAATTTGAACCCCGGTCATTTGGCTCCAGAGTCCATTCTGTTAACTGTGACACTATTCAGTCTTTTAAGAGTGAAGTACAGAAAGCCATTTGATGGGTTAGGGTGGGGGGAATAATAACATGATGAAATTGGATTTTAAGCAAATTGAGTCAGACATTGTATAAGTAGACTGAGGGAAAGGGAGTAAGGTGACAAAGACCTGCCTTTGGTGGATTCTATCACCACATAACACTAGCCCTTATTAATGGTTTCTTACTTATCTGGAATGTTCTTCTTATGTTCATTTAGTGGTCTTAAATCCTAACTCCCTAGAGGTCACATGTGTTGCCTCTGTATGCCTTCAACATGGATGGCATTTACATTTAAGGCAGGCTGTTATGAAAGACAGTTGGACATTGTCCCACTAAAGGATCATAAATTTTGTATTTGTGTTCACCTGGGGAGATTGTGCAAGGAGAGCTTAAAAATTTTAGGTCCAATAACTTAAAATCAGAAAGATACCAGCCAGCTGGCATTAGAGAGAGAAGTCTAATGGTTATATCAAGCTGAGTGAGATGTTTCTTAATGTGGTTATAACGATGAAGTGGAGGAGGTTGGAGATCCATTGTTTTAAAGATCTCAGCAGCCTTCAAAAGAGAAAATGCTTTCAATCCCCAATTTCTTCTGGAACAGAGTCCAAGTTGTAGATAGTTCCATGAATAGATGCTGGAATATAATTACTGAGAGTGTCACAATGTTCATAAAGACTAAATTCCCATTACCTTCCTAATATAATTTGATTCCAGTTTCATTTTTTATTTATGAAGTCAGTTTTCATTCATTTGATTGTCTTCATTTCTTTGTATCTCTGCCATTAATGTGAAATAAGAAAACAGAGAGCCCTACTCTGATTCTCTTTGATTTTATCATTATGAAGCTATTTAACAGATTTAGATGGCCAGAAAACTATGTCATTTATGTGCAACTTGTCATCAAATGATTATACTATCTGATGAAAATTCCCACTGTACCCCCAGGACTCTCTATTTACTAATCAATTCAGGTAGAAAATGCATTCTGGTAAATTGAACACGGTGTAATGATGTGAAGCCATACCATCTGCTATTACATTTAATATTTAAATATTAAGTTTTAAAAGCATAATTTGCATATTATTCATGCAAGTATGTTTTGCATATAGCAGAACTTTTTGAAATGCATTTATGTATTTGGAAAGAGGAAACAGATTACTTTGCAAGTGTTTGGTTAATCTTGTTTTTCACAAAATGCAAATGTATATTATACTGTGTCATTTTCTTATCTTCAAAAATATCTTGAAAATCTGCATTTTGTAATTGGGTACTTTTGGGGCCCAAGAAAATTATGCTAAGTAGTTTTATTGGAAGAACAAAGGCATTTATTGTTATTGTGCTGGACTAAAATGTTCTCATCCATTGGCTGTGCAGTAACAAGTATAGAAAACAGTTACTTAAGTTTGAACTCCAAAGCCACAAATGAATAATATTCCTGAGAGAATTACAGGAGTGAGAATACTCCCTTCAGTTTATTCCTAGAGAAAGTAGATGGTACTGAAAGAGAGTAAGAAAAATATGCATCTAGGGTTTTGTGTATACTTTGATGGAGTTAATGTGCTATTTGTGATACACTAATTTGCTCTTGTAATTAAAAAAGCAGAGGGATTTTTTTATGTTTAGTATAAATAACTTCCCATTTTTATAGCATTTTTGTTTTGTTTGCAGTAATAAAACACACTAACCCTCTGTTTCTTTCAAAATACAGCTGAATATGTTGGCTTAAGCTGTGTCCTGCTATTGAGACATTCACATTCCTTTCCAATATATCAGTATCACAGGGGGATGTAGGAATACAGTCTGCAGTTTAACCAGGATGGTTTCTTTGTGGTTTCATCTTTCTTTCTGAAGCTTTCATTTGGCCTGAGCTTTTAAAATAATTTCTTATAGAGAAAATGTGTGGGTCTGTGTGTGTACACATGTATGTGCTTGTCTGAGTGTGAACATGTGTGTGTTTGTATTGTATTTTAAGCAGTGAAAATTTAAGCATTTGCTCAGTATCATTAGTCATTAGGGAAATGCAAATCAGCACCATTTCATACCCACAGTGATGGCTATAATCAAAAAGATGGATAAAAACAAGTTGAGAATGTGGTGAAATTGGAACCCTTATAAAGCTGGAGGGAATGTGAAATAGTGTAGAAATTTGGAAAACAGTTGGGCAGTTCCTCAAAAAGTTAAACATAGAATTACTGTATGACCCAGCAATTTCACTGGTAGATATATACCCAAGAGAACTGAAAACACATGTTTATACAAAAAAATTTTACATGAATGTTCATTATTCATTATAGCCAAAAAATGAAAACAACTGAAATGTCCATCAACTGATGAATGGATAAACTTAATGTGGTATATCTATGCAATGAAATATTACTCAACTATAAAAAAATGAAGTGTTGATGTGTGCTACAGCATGGATGAACTTTGAAAGCATGATGCCAAGGGAAAGAAACCAAACACAAAAGACTACATGTTATATGATTTCATTTATATGAAATTTTCAGAATAGGCAAGTTCATAGAGATGGTAGATTAATAGTTGCCAGGCAGTGGGAAGAGGTGGGGTGGGGAGTGACTGCTAATAGGTATGGAGTCTCTTTTTGAGGTCATGAACATTCTAGAATTAGGTACTGGTGATGTTTGCACAACTTTGTGAATATACAAAAACAACTGAATTATATATTTTAAGAGAGTGAATTTTTGGTTTGTGAATTATGTATCACTTTTAAAAAATGAAAGCTTAAGCATCTGGAAAGTCAGGGACTGTCAGCAAAGTGCTGAGCCTGAGTAATAGCAGGCCTTTGATAAATACATACCAGTGACTGGAACATACCTTTTCTCTTATGATTTTTTTAGAGCATATACTTAAAATATTTGAAACTGTTAAATGAAAGTTGCTAAAGGCTTAAAAATAGTAGTAATGACATAGCATTAATCTATCTCAAATAGCAATAAACCTTTTCTTGAAGAGAAGGGGAAAAGCCCACACATTTTAAGAAGATTTTAGTGAATAATTTAAAGATTTGTTGCACTTACAATAATATGGAAATTTCAATCTTCAGAACAGCATTTGATTACTCCCATTAAGACTCTGTGGTTCCCTTCTTGTGAAATTAATTTGGTTAGTATCAGACACCAAATTGTGAATAGAATTTATAACCGGTATATATTCATGCAATTTAGTGGCCTCAATTCTTATTGAACGCTTAAATCTGAAAATTGAGATATATACTGCCTTGGTAAATGATAATGATGAAATATTTTCTGCTTTGTAAGTAGAATTGAAAATCACTGTAATTAGTTTCTTTTCCCTTTTTATTCCTTTCTCTCCCCCTTGAGGCACATTGTTTTCCCAAGTTATGAATTCAGTTTCTTTTATTTGTTCTAGCTGCTTAGTTTTTCTTATTACATACCTGTTTAATTTTTAATTTCTCATTAAAAGTAAATATGGCTAATTTTCCTATCAATATTTCAAGAAATCTTTCATTTCTGTCTGCCATGACCTTGATATAGTGCTGTCTAGTGTGTATTACTACATAATTAAAATGCTATTTTTTTTGTCAGATAGTCCTAGTAAAGTAACTTATCAAGACATTTTAAATCAATCAGAGCTTTATTTTTATAAAGTAGGGATAAATGCTGTAAACACTATGTGGAACTAAAGCTAGTAAGTGGATTAATATGTATGGTGCTATGGGAAAAGTTGTTACAATTACAGGAAAAATACTTAAAGATGAACACATAGGTATTCAGACCTTCTTAATAAGTCTCATCTATTGTATAATGAAGAAAGATACATTAAAAAAATACTAATCTTGAGTCACTTGGGAAATATAGTAGGCCGTCCGTATCCACAGGTTCCACATATTTGGAATTCAACCAACCGCAGATTGAAAATATTTGGGGAAAAAAATGGGTGGTTGCATCTGTACTAAACACATACTTTTTTCCTTATCATTCCCTAAACAATATAGTATAACAATTATTAACATAGCATTTACATTGTATTAGGTATTATAAGTAAGCCATAGATGATTTAGAGTACACTGGAGGATGTGCATAGGTTACATGTGAATACTGCACCATTTTATGTAAGGGGCTTGAGTATCCATGGATTTTGGTATCCAAGGAGGGTCCTGGAACCAATCCTCACAGATATGGAGGAATGACTGTACTTACTAAGCCTGGACCATATGCTAGTCTCTATGTATTCGTGGTGATCACATGGTGGCTCTGGATATTTTTGGTGATGGAAACAGGTAATTTTTGCTTTCAGCCATTATGCAGTAGTCCTGGAGCCTCTGATATGGGAGAACCCATGTAGCTAGAACACAGCCACTGAGCAGAGACTGGCGTGAGTTGAGACCAATGAGACTGGAGGGGTGGGCAGGGCACTCGTGCCAACAGGCATATAGTATAGAGGAAGCGTTTGGGCTTTGTACTTGCTGTGAGAATAAACCATTGAAGGCTTACTGCTGGGGAGTCCAGCTTCAGTTTTCTGTACGATTATTCTGAGCAGTGATGAAAAATAGCTGTTGGGTATCAGAGGAGCAACAGAGACTCCAGGTGGCTGTATTTTATTGTAACCAGGTAAGTTATGATGGTGGCCTAGACTAGAGAAGTGACCTGAGAGCTAGAAAGAAATAGATTGATAAAAACTGGAAGAATTAACGAAACTTGATGGATAGGATTTGGGGGTAGCAGGGTGACGAGTGTGAAGAACATGTCAAGGATGTTTCCTGCCCCTTTGACCTGAGCAACTGGATAGATGGAGATTCATGTCTTGAGATAGGAACGTGAAAGGAGGAGCTGATTTGGAAGGGATGAGTTAGGGGAGTACAGGGACTGGCTATCTCTTCCTTGAGCTCTGGTAACTGGCTTATGGTCTAGGTACAAATTAGATACATAAATCACTTCCAAAACCAAACAAATCGCATGGGTTTCCAGTTCACAGATAAGTAGCTATAACTGATGATGCCTCTGTGATCTGTCATACAGCACATCACTCTAAAAATTTCTGTGTGTATGATGGGCAGGACATTAGCTATTCATTTTATAGTCAATGCTCACTTATTGTGATCTATTTTCCTTGGTGTTCCTAGATCTATGCTTGCCTGACCCACAAGGTCAAGTTACAGATTTGATCTTTACATGGACCATTTGGAATTTTTTTAGGTTACCTTGTGACAGGCTGCATCCCTCACTTGTATGGCTGGCTGACTCGATAACTTATTAGGAAGAAACTGGGCTATATAGTTGTTATGAAATAGGACAAATTTATCTTTGCTACTTAAAACTCAAAACTATGTTCTACCTACAGTGTTACTCTAGTGGCATTCATTTTTGAAGTACAGCCCCCATAATATTTATGCACTTCTGATGTTGGCTATGGCTATATCTTCCTTCTCATTAAGGATACATTCATTGAGAAGTTGAACCACATCATTTTTCTTTTGATTTCCTGCAGCCGATATTTTTATTTTCTTTCAACAAATAGAAATAGGCCATTTAGGGGCTAGGATTATAAATTTTTGTTCTTGGCTATACCTCCAGTGCCTGGTACAGGGACTGACATGCATTTGGCACTTGATATTTGTTAAATAGATGAGTGAAAGAAGGAACGGCTGAATTATCATTCTGTGAGAAAGGATAATTCAGTTTTCAGAAACCAAGACAATGGGCAGACTGTATTCTTCCTATAAGATTATGTTTCTGAAACCCGTTAGGAAATCAAGGCTGAAAAATATAAACTTGGGAATCATCCTAATAAAAAGAATTATAGAAACCATGAGAGGGGAGTCCTTGAGTGTGTGCAGGGGAGCGTAAAGATAGAGGAAAGTGAACAGCAGAGAAAGGGGAGTTGGAAGGAGGGGGGAAGCCTCAGGAGAGCAAGGTGTTTTGTGGGAGCGGGAGCAGTCAGCAGTGGGCAGGTAGAGCTGGGAGGAGAGAAGGAGTGCACATGGAAAGAGACCTTTGGATTTGGGCAAAAGTAAGGGAAAGTGTAACGTGAGCCTGGGTGCACACTGTGAAGTAGGACGTGGACATTGTATCCTTTTGTTTATGCTCTTCATCACTAATGATGCCATTTGAAGGGCAACTTTTTCTTAAGCAAAGATGTAATTAGTTTTTGTTTTCTGCTACTTATAGCCCAGCATCATAAGACACTGTTTGCACTGATGTTGAAGGGTTTATTTTGTGATTTTATAAGCTGAGGCCATATTTTTTCATTGTTCCTATTATAGGTAATCATGTTTGATATATATATAATATACATATTTATGCATATATATGACACACACACACACATATATATATTAACAAGGGGAATTTTTTAAAAGTCATAATAGGTGGAGAAATGAAAATTGACTTGAGTTCCAATGTAAAAAATATGCATATATGCATATGCACACACATGTATATGTATGTATAATTTTTTCAGGCATTTTTTTGGTGCGGTGTTGATAAGAAGAATTCATATGGGGGTATAGGGTATACATTTGAGCCTTATTAGGATATACCATTTGCAAAGGAATTAATTTTCACATAAATGAGATTACTTTAGAAATGAAAATAGTAGCTACCATTTATTCAGCACATCTTTTGTTTCAAGCATCTTACAGTAATCCTGGGAAAGAGGTGTTATCATTCCTAATGTAAAGTGAAGAAATTGAAGTTCAGAAAGTTTAAGTGATTTTCCCCTCTATTCAGAGCTAGTAAGTAGGAGAATCCTGCCCTTTTTTACTCCAAAGTGTCCAGTGTGCTAAGTTAGAATCCTTAGAGAATCAGAGTGAGTTACCTATTTGGTTGAGGGCCAAGATACCTGCATGTAGAAAACAGAAACCACTAGATGAGAACTTTTTCAGCATCCTGTCCCCTAATCTTCCTAGTTGCCCATATCTACCTGATACATTAAATATTTTTTTCTTTCTGCTAAAAAGAAAAGGATCTTTCCTCAAAGCACTTGATTCTTTTTATTTATCTCTTGCATCTTTAGTCTGTGTCTCTGTTACCCTCTCTTTTGTTATTAGCTTTTTACTATGAGCATAAACCAGCCCCTCCCTGTCTGGGTTCATTTAGTGTTGCCATAAGGAAATACCCGAGGTTTTGTCATTTATTAAAAAACAACAAAAAAAGGATTTATTTAGCTCACAGTTCTGCTGGCTGTGAGTTTTTCTTGATCTTAGCCAAAAGGCCGAGAAGCAATGCTGTAAGTTTCGAGACTGGGCATCTGGTGAGAGCCTCAGGTTGCCTCCACTCAGTGGTGGAAGGCAAGTGGGAGCTGGCCCAGGCAGAAATCACATGGTGAGAGAGGCAGCAAGAGTGGGGAGGGAGGCGCTGGGCTCTTTTTAACAAACCAGCTCTCTTGGGAACTAATAAGAGTGAGAATTCATTTATTCCCTCCACCCCCTCGAACCCCTCACTCCCCCCAAGGAGGGCATTAATCTTTTCATGAGGATCTGCCCCTGCGATGTAAACACCTCCCATTAGACCCCACCTCCAGCTTCATGGATCGTACTTCAGTGTGAAGTTGGGGGTGTCAAACATCTAAATGATAGCACTCTCCTTCTTTATTAGTAAGCCTGGTGGAACAAACTAAGTATCATTCCTTTACCTTACTGTCCTGTGGCTCAGCAAATGAGGCTGGCCTATAGCTTTGCTTCTGGGGCAGTAGCTGGCTAGTGGCCAGGAATATCATGGTGGCTGGAGTCTGTGTATTTTTTTCCTCATCCAGCAGGCTGGCTCAGACTTGTCCATGTGGTTACTGGTGAGGGTTTCAAGAGAGAGAGAAGTCTGCAGATCATCTTAAGGTCTAGGGTCAGAGCTCATGGAGTGTCACTTCCTCCGCATTCCGTGAGCCAAACTGTGTCACAGTGCCAGCCCAGGTCCAGGGGATGGAGAAGTAGTCATGGACTCCTCCTTGTCCATAACTCCAGTTCACCATTTAAGACCTTAGCCCTGTCACCACCTCGGGTTGAATCAGGCGCCTGTGCTCTGGGTTCCTTGTCCCACTGGGATTAGAGCATTGCGCGGCAGTTGTTGGTTTACTTCTTACGGGAAAGTGAGCTCCTTAAAAAATAAGGACTGTGTTTCAATCCAGGATTTGGCACATAGTAGGTAACTTTTAAAAGCTGGAGTGTTGTCAAAATAAAACATTCAGGCAGCTGATATCTGGCAATGTGGAAATTGGAATAGAAGATAATGTATGCTTATAGCTTAAAACTTGCTTGTTGACATTTAAAAACTTTCGAACAAACTCATTCTAATATATCAAAATTAAATATTTCTTTTTTTTTTTTTGAGACAAAGTCTCACTTTGTTGCCCAGGCTAGAGTGAGTGCCGTGGCATCAGCCTAGCTCACAGCAACCTCAAACTCCTGGGCTCAAGCAATCCTTGAGCTGGGACTTCAGGCATGCACCAACATGCCTGGCTAATTTTTTCTATATATATTAATTGGCCAATTAATTTCTTTCTATTTATAGTAGAGACGGGGTCTCGCTCTTGCTCAGGCTGGTTTCGAACTCCTGACCTGGAACAATCCGCCCGCCTCAGCCTCCCAGAGAGCCAGGATTACAGGCGTGAGCCACTGCACCCGGCCAAAATTAAATATTTCTTTAAAAAATGGAAGGGGTACAGAATCCTGGCCAGGAGTCTGAGTAGAAATCATTATTTAATACTTGCACACAATCTTTGTAGGTTTTTCATTAGGTTACAAGTTTGTTTATAAGGAAGACAAGTTATAGTTTCATGACAGGCTTTTCAGAGAAATCATACCTGTTTATTAACTGGTTCATTGGCATTTAGAATGACATTTTTATTTTAGAATGTAAAATGAAGGAAGAGTGTCAGCCAGCATCCTGGATGTTACTCTGGAAGACCTGGAATATAAATATTTCTGTTAGAATGGGAAATAGCATATACTTGGTGTGGTCTCATCTTTAACCACTTTGGTATGGCGCTCACTAGCCACGAAACCTTGCCCACAGCTGGCACTGACAGTTCGCACGGTAGTTTGTGCTGTGCATTGACGACGAATCCGTTTTGTTCTTGTGTGATGAGGAAAGCTTTAAATCACTGAAAGCTTGTTTTACTTTACAGGCAGCTTTACTTGTGATGTAAATCAGAATAGGTAACATAGACATATATGTTTTCATTACGTTATTTTTAAATGTTCATAATTTTATTTTGATAAATGAAAAATTAGAAAAGTCAATTCAAAATTATAGTTTTATTTCATTCATATCATAAAGAAATAAGGCAAGTTTTTGAATATTACGATGAATTTTATTCTTTGGTATGGTAAATTTCGAAGCATGGGGCTACACATAGGCCAACATTACATTGTTTACAATAGTATCTAGTACTATGCCTTTTATTATTTTTTGAGCATACAGTACATCTTCTTAATGGATTTTTTCCTTTTTGTTTTATCACTATTATAAGGTGCTGGAAAATGTCTTTCTCTAAAATGCATGAGATTTTCTGATGCAGTGCAAGGGTTGTATTGCCTCGATTTGGAGTACTATTGTAGAAGTTTTGGTATTAATGCTAAAGTCGACGCTCGGCTGTGCGCGTTCATCTGTGGCTGTCGACTATAGTCGACGCTCGTACTGAAGTGGTTAACTGGATGTGTCTTACCGATTTGCTAATTCTTCATTGATAGGTTTTCACATGTGTTTTTTGTTTCAGGTTCAGCTGTTTGTATACCTCTCCGGATACCTAAAACCTGATCACATTTTTCCTTGGCCGGACTGCCTTCCTGGTATCTAACCATGCAGCGGAGATCAAGAGGGATTAATACTGGCTTTATTCTGCTCCTTTCTCAAATCTTCCATGTTGGGGTCAACAATATCCCACCTGTCACCCTAGCCACTTTGGCTCTCAACATGTGGTTGTTCTTGAGTCCCCTGAAGCCGCTGCACAGCTCCTGCCTCAGCGTGGAGAGGTGTTACCAGCATAAAGACTGGCAGCGTTTGCTGCTGTCTCCCCTTCACCACGCCAGCGACTGGCATTTGTACTTCAACATGGCATCCATGCTCTGGAAAGGAATACATCTGGAAAGAAGACTGGGAAGTAGATGGTTTGCCTATGTCATCACCACATTTTCCCTACTCACTGGGGTGGTGTACCTGCTCCTGCAGTTTGCTCTTGCTGAATTTATGGGCGAGCCTGAGTTCAGAAGGAACTGTGCCGTGGGTTTCTCAGGTAAGGCAGACCAGTTTCTGAGGTAGCGTGCATGACGGCAGCGAGGGGCTGTGCCTGCTGTCATTTTATGGGATGCGGTGAGGGAACTAAATGCTGAGTTGTTAGAGGTGCTGGGGCTTGCATCTTGAAGAGGAGGCCTAGGAGGGACTAGTTTTTGCTGTTTTACATTATGCTGTATCATTCACTTTTGGACAACCTGGACTAGGCCTACAGAAGGTGGTTTTGTAGGAGATGTAGTGCTGGAAACATGCACCGGCCCCATCATGGTAGGGCCACAGAGAGACCCACAAGTGTATTTGTAATAGGGAGTTCTCAAGAATGGCAAGTCTGCCTGTGAAGCAGATTCACTGTGCACCAACTTGTCTGACTCTGGGGAGACAGAGCACACTTAATATGCAACAAGTTACGTGAAGCAGATTTGTTACTTACAGGCAGCAAGGGACAACAGGAACCTAGGATTCATTGTGAGCTAGTCCCTCACGGCTCAGAAAGCTTGCACTGCAGATGGGGGACCCTGAAAGGCAGTCCACCCCAGCTTACAAAGGGGGTGATGACATGAATCACTAGGTGAAGCTTTGAGGGACATCCTGTTCTAGAAGGGAGCTGGGCTGTTTTGGCCAGCTCCCCCTTTATCTTAGGATGTTGCATTTCTAGGACATTCCACAGTTATTCCTAAGACCTATAAGCAAGAAAGTGGGAGAGAACTATGAAGGTCCAAGGCCGCCTAGAGAACTGTCCTGCCACGTGCATCCCAGTAACTTCATTAAAGTAAGCATGCTACAGTCTACTGTGGCATGCCCACCATATTTTAGGAGCTAGGGGAGTAACTCTGCATAACTCATCCTATTTAATTCATGCAGCAGATCCATAGGGAGATGACATTATCTTGATTTTATAGCTGAGGAAGTTAAGACACAGAGAGGGGAGGTTGCTAGCTCAAAGTTGACACAGCTCGTAAGTGGTAGAGCTGGGATTTGAACACAGTCTGCATGACATTAGCCTTGTGATGCATTGTCTCTCTTTTTTCTCAGTAATTCTTTTTTTTTACAAATATTTCTTGGGGCTGAAATTGCCTTCAGGATTTAAATTAGGTGTTCTAAGTATTAGAATGTGAAGGGGAGGAGGGAAATAGTCCTGAAACAAGGAAATCAGATCCTTCCCTCTTTCCTCCAAGATGCACCTTTATGCATCTCGTTGTGGGAGAAGGAAGAGTGTATGTCCAGCCTTTCCATAGAGGTTAGAAAAATACATATTACTGGTATTTTTTGTTGAGTTAAAATTTATATAGCATAAAATTAACTATTTTAAAGTGTACAGTTTAGTGGTATTTAGTACCATTGCTGGTGTTTCGTTCCCATTCTATGTGTAATATGTGTAGTAGCATACTGAAAGTCAGTATGAATTTCCTTGTCAAGAACCGTCAAAGGAATGGTTGCCTTGAACATCGTCTTTTTTACCAAATGTTGGGCTTTAAGGAATAGAGTGTGTTTTAAAGCAAAAAGTTGGATGTAATTGAATAATCAGTTTCACCTTTTAATTAGTTTTCTTTGTAAATGATGATTCTCTCCACATTTGGATCGTTGATATTTGCTCTTTATTCTCTTTTAGGAGTTTTGTTTGCTTTGAAAGTTCTTAACAACCATTATTGCCCTGGAGGCTTTGTCAACGTTTTGGGCTTTCCTGTACCCAACAGATTTGCTTGTTGGGCCGAACTTGTGGCGATTCATTTATTATCACCAGGGTAAGTGTTTATTCTCAGAGAATAAAAATGAAGAACCCAGTGTTTCACGGAGAAAGAATTGCAGTAATAATGAGGCAACAAATTGCTTTTTACAGTGAAGTTTATTCTTTATAAGGACAGAATTGAGCTTAATAGTTTTAATGTGAGACATTCCTAGGTTTGAATCTTGTCAGCTACTGAGGTTTGTGATTTTGGGGCACTTGTCTTATCTGAGTTGCAGTTTCCCCACCTTTTACGTAGGAATATGAGAAGCTAATATACAGATTTGGGGATCATTAGTAATCAGCCAGTCAGCTAGTTAATTCTAATAACAATAATCCAAAGAGGTACATAGAAACCACATAAAGATAAAAACCTATTAAAGGTATGTTGGCCTAATGCTTTTAAATCACTTTAGCTGTACCTTGTCTTGGCAATAGAACTCTTTAAACAAAAGGCTTTACTCAGAACCCAACATATTAATATAAAATGGATCAACTCTGAACTGTTTGGGGTTGAGAGGAAGCTTGAGGCCATTCCCTCTGCCTTGAGGCTGTTCCTCTGGCTGTGGCTGCCTCAGAGGCACCTCCACAAAATCCTAGGGCTCCAAGGAGTGCAGTTTCAAAACCGCAGATCTCGATGAATCCTTTCCTTCTCTGATGAGGACATGGCAATCTGGGAGGTTAAGGAGCTCCTCAAGCTTCCTCTCAACCCCAAAGAGTTCAGAGAGTTGATCCATATTGGTGGATGCTGGACCTGTGAGAATTCAGCCTCTCGATTCCTGCTGCACTTTCTCCCTTTGGTTCCTTTCTCTGCTTTTTGTTTAGAGAAAGGAGGATGCATTGTGTTATTTTTCCACCTCTTCCACCAGGTTCACTTCCCTTAATCTGTATCGTGCAACTGGAAATGCATGGTTTGCTTATTTATTTTTACTGTGGGGACCACGACACTGCAGATGGGGGAGATTCAGGAAGATTCAGAAAGGATGAGGATTTTTTTTTGTATTTTTTTTTTTTTGCTACTGTTCTTTTCAGACAGGAGTTTTTGTTTTGGTTTTGATTTATGTGACTGCGTTGCGTGTCTTACCTTATTTTGGAATATTCTCATTGGGCTGTGTTGTGCGTCAGCCTCTGGTTCTTCTTTCATGCTAATCTCCCGTGTTGGGCAGCCATTGGTGGCAGGCCTGTAATTGGCAGTGACGTAGCCCCTGAACGCCACTCATTTGCAATTGTATTGCTACTTGTGGCAGCTCGGTGCAGAAAGCCTAACAAAATCTTCAAAGATTTCTTTGAAAATGGGTCCAGTAATGTCTGTCTCTTACTTGAACAGCCCTCTCCATACCTTGTCACTCACTGCTCCCCTGGCTTGCTCCACATGACTTGGTTCTCTATGCAGATGATGGGCTTTTGTATGTAACTGGCAACTTTAACATTCATATGAAAATCACTCCCTCTGGTACTTGAACTTGTATCTTGTGATGAATCCGATGAATAATGGTGCTTTTAATACTCTCAGGCAACTGTTTCTGAAGAGCTCATCATGCATTTTATTTTTTCAGCCCCCTCCCCCCCTCACCTGGAAAAGGCATGGTTGCATCTTTGTGTAATATGCCTATTCTGTGTAGAGTGACCTGATATTCTCAGTCTGGGAATTAAGTGAAATTTCCTGTCTTTGATGTTTAAATGAATAAGTCTTTTGGTTTTTAAGACTTGACTGCTTTGAATGAAAACTTCTAATTTCCGAGCATCTACTTATGCCTGCGTCCAAATAAAGACTGAGCTAAACCCTGATCCAGGAAACCTGAGGAGTGACTGCTTCTTTGGGATGGATCTTGGAAGAATGGGTGTAACCAGAGCTCTCTTTGCTCTGTATTGTTATTCTCTTCGTGGTTGTCAATTAGAATTTTCACTGGGAAAACACTGTAAATCTTTAGAACAAAGCCCGCTTTATTGAGGGACTGTATGGGCTGTCCTTTGGGAGGAAAAAAATATCTGCCAAAGCAAACGGTTTGGTGGACCTCTGTGTTTTCTGAAAGCCTTGGAATTAGTAATTTCCCGCAACTATGGAGTTTTATGAAGGAAGGCCACTCCAAACAGGCAGCTATTAGACATTGTAAGGGGTGTGGACTTAACCATCAGAGTGAAGTCATCACACTCATTGCGTGGTGCTTTTAGTTTTCTCAGTTCTTGTGTGTATTAGTTCAGTAGTGGCTCTGCCTCACACTGTCTATATCTGTTTCCCTTCATGTCCTGGGACCCTGTGGGGTGGTTGTGTGGAGGAGGAGTCTCTGCTCCAGAGGTGGCCCAGGAGGGAGACTTGCCAGCCACTTTAGGAGGCACCTCCTTCACAGGTGGTGAAGACTCAGACTCACAGTGTCAGCCACCTGTGTCTGGGCCTTGGCGTGTGCATCTCCCATCCCTTTCCCTGGGATGCTTTTTATTCTTTTCTCCTTGTGAATGCCTGGTTATTCTAGACCCAAATCAAATAATACCTATTCTGTGCTGCTTTTTCTGAATTCTCCAGGCAGAGTTAATTACTTGTTTTTATCTATATAGTGTTTGTAGCTGTCTCTCCCCTAAGCACTTTCTCCTTCATAATTTATCCATATTTTTTTACTTTTTATGCTGTGAGCTTCCTTAGGGGCTGTTTCTTATTCATTTTTGTATCTTAATCATCCGCCTGGTGCATATAGTAGGACTTAGTAAATATTTGTGGTTAAATGGACATAAAGAACATCAATGAAGGACCTGTTGTTTTCATGGGTGCTTTTTGGCCTGAAGTCTCTTGCTAGATTCCTTCATTGACCTCTGTCGGGTAGGGCTGACATATCATTGTTTTAGAACACAATATCAGAAGTGGAGGCAGAGAGAAGCAGTAGAATATGTAAAATTTATATAACCACTGACATTGCTAGTTAAGAACTGTCAATATGAACTTTTAACTCTTTGTACAAAGGAGAATGGTTACTTGTCTCTCTTATTGCTTTCTCGACTGTAAAATCCATGCCCTATATGGGATAGAATTCCTTAGGTGGCATGAAACTGCCATGCTACTTTGAGTTCTATCTTTGATCTTGCGTACATTTTATGTTAAGGTGCTTCTGATTTATTTGTCTAAAATACAACATAAAGGACAGTGTTTGAGGACTTGGTGGAGAGTAGAGTGAAAAGAAAAGAGAGAAAAGAATAGAGTCTTGGGGACAAATCCATACTGAGATACTATTCCACTGTGAATCATAACATCACCTATCAAATAATGGGCTTTAAAGCAATAGTTTTCAACTATGAGTTTTAACCCATTAAAAGGACATGAAATCAATGCAGTATGTCACAACTGGCATTCCAAAAACAAGAAAAGAGATATAGAAATATTAATGTAGCATATAGAAAGTAGTATTATTTCAAGGAACTTTGGTTTCAGCTCTTTTTATATATATGCTACGTCAAGTCCAAAATGAGTTTCTATGTGGGACACGGTACAAAAATTTTGAGACATGTTGCTTTAAAGCAGCTACTAGTTGCTTAACCTAGAGTTAAATGTGCAGGTAGGATCAGCATCATTTATTGCCTTCAGTGGAAAAGAGATTGTCAGGACTTAGATTGTTAGGACTTTGGTGGCAATGAGAACAGGCTGTGATCACAGATTTCTACTAATTTATTGTCTTTTGTTAGAACAAGTACTGTTTGTTCACAAGGCTTACTAATGACTGTGCCAGCTCTCACGATAGTTGTCTGTGTACAGAAATGTGTGCTAACAGACTCAGACTGCATGTAAACCAGAAAAGCTAATAACAGTTGTTCAGTTATAAACAAAGTTATTAATAAAACCCTTTGAAAATGCAATAAGGAAGGGTTATCTAGAGCAAAGGAGGCAGTGGGGTATAAAAGTTAATTAATACATTTTCCCAAGTGAAAGTATAACATTCTTTTCTAAACTTTTTGAAAGGTAAAAGTGTTTCTGACATCTTGGTAGAAAATAAAAACCAGTGGACATAGGGTCACAATATACATTGGGAGTTTGTATAAACAAGCAAATAACGAGTATGTAAATCCAGAGATACCCAAATTTATCATTCTTTTGAAGAGAAAGCTCTTTTAACAAAAATGTTCTGATGGATGACAGCTCAAGAAGGAATTTTGGTTTTCTCAGGGTTTGGTCAGCATCTGTGGCAGCTCTTGAGAGAAGGCTGCTATCTGGGATTTAGGTTTTGTAAGGATGGCCTAAGCTGTTTTTCAAGAAGTTATGCCAATTTATAATGTCATTTTGTCAATTTTAGCAGAGATTGGCCCGTGTGTGTATATACACATTTGTTTATTGTCCAGGGTGAGCCTCTTCTGAAAACATGATTTTCTGTTTATGTTGTAGGATAACATCTTTTGTCTGTCCATCTACTGGGACTGTTGCATTTTTCTAATAAGCTTGGATAACAAATGTATGTAGAATGATACTCACCCTCTGTTTTATTTCATGGAAACATATTTCCCCAGCCTGTTAGAGTTCAGTTTAAATCAACATTCCTGGACTATCCCAAACAGATTTGTGAAGTAGGGGAAATTATTCTTCTGCATTCCTTGGATGTCCATTTATATATTTCCTCCCTTTCCTCTTCACAGCCTCCCATAAAGGAAAGTTATTTGAGTCATATCAAAGAGTTAGTTAATTTTTCCTGTCTCCCAGCAGGGCTTACAGTTGAACAGAACTCAAGATGAGAGCAATATGTCACCCAAAACAATGATTCCCTTAAGTTAGATTTTATTCGATGAGAATGAGAAATTGAGGCAGGGACTTCCCCAGGGAAAGGGCGTGCATGGATCATCTCTCTGGCCCTTGAGTCCAATGTTGTAGAGAGAGAGAGAGACCTAGCCCCGTCCTGAACAGCTGGACAGAGTGATCTGCCCATTTCCTGACCACAGTAGGAAGAATTTAGGGCTCATAAGAGGTGCATTAAGAACAGAAAAGATAATTTTCTCTGACTATTGAGTTTTCTTTGCTTATTCTTTTTTAAAAGCTCCAGTATAACA